AAATCGCACTAATTTCAAAGGAATTTTAGCCCTTTCTTTGGGTTAGGGGTGTGCCCCAGGGTAGGGTTAGGATTAGAAAAGTGAGGTGTCCTGGCATGATTTTGATGGTTGGAATGTGATGGGAATGTGCAGAAAGGATGAGTTCAGCAGAAAAATCTATTCTAGGAAGGGCTTTTCAAAATCGCACTAATTTCAAAGGAATTTTAGCCCTTTATTTGGGTTAGGGGTGTGCCCCAAGGTAGGGTTAGGGTTAAAAAAATGAGGTTTCCTGGAATGATTTTGATGGTTGGAATGTGTTTAGAATGTGTAGAAAGGATGAGCTGAGTAGAAAAACCTACCAAAGGGAGGCTTTTTCAAAATCGCATTATTTTCAATGGAATTTTGCCCTGTCTTAGGGTTAGGGGTGTTCCCCAGAGTAGGGTGACAGTTAGAAAAATGAGGTGTCCCGGCATTATTTTGATGGTTGGAATGTGGTAGGAATGTGCAGAAAGGATGAGCTGAGCCGAAAAACCTACCAAAGTTTAGCTTTTTCAAAATCGCATTATTTCCAAATGAGCTTGAGCTCTCAATTAGGGTTAGGGACATGCTCCAGGGTAGGGTTAGGGTTGGAAAAATGAGGTGTCCTGGCATGATTGTGATTTTTGGAATGTGGTTAGAATTTGTAGAAAGGATGAGCTGTGCAGAAAAATCTACGCTAGGAAGGATTTTTCGAAATGGCATTATTTTCAAAGGAATTTTAGCTTTATATTAGGGTTATAGTTGTGTCTCAGGGTAGGGTTATGATTAGGAGAACGAGTTGTCGTAGCATGATTTTGATGGTTGGAATCTGTTCAGAATCTGAGGAAAGGATGAGCTGAGCCAAAATACCAAACAAAGGGGGCTTTTTCAAAATCACATTATTTTCAAAGGAAAGATAGCCTTATGTTAGGGTTAGGGGTGTGCCCCAATGTAGGGATAGGTTTAGAAAAACGAGGTGTCCTGGAATGATTTTGATGGTTGGAATGTCTTTAGAATATGTGGAAATGATAAGCTGAGCAGAAAATCCTACCAAAGGAGGCTTTTTAAAAATCACATTATTTGCAATGCAACTTTAGCCCGATATTAGGGTTAAGGGTGTGCCTCAGGGTAGGGTTAGGGTTTGAAAAAAGAGGTGTCCTGGCTTGATTTTGATGGTTGGAATTTTCACAGAATCTGCAGAAAGGATGAGCTGAGCAGAAAAACCTACCAAGGGAGGCTTTTTCAAAATTGCATTATTTTCAAAGGAACTTTAGCCCTACATTAAGGTTAGGAGTGTGCCACAGGGTAGGGTTAGGCTTAGAAAAATGAGGTGTCCTGGCATGATTTTCATGGTTGTAATGCTGTTAGAATGTGCACAAAGGATGAACTGAGCAGAAAAACCGACCAGTGGGAGGCTTTTTGAAAATGGCATTATTTTCAAAGGAACTTTAGCCCTACAATAGGGTTAAATGGGTGCCCCAGGGTAGGGTTAGCTTTAGAAAAAGGAGGTGTCCTGGCATGATTTTGGTGGCAGGAATGTGTTCAGAATCTGCAGAAAGGATGAGCTGAGCAGAAAACCTACCAAAGGGCGGCTTTTTCAAAATCGCATTATTTTCAATGTCACTTTACCCTATATTAGGGATAGGGGTGTGCCCCAGAGTCGGGTGAGGGTTAGAAAATAGAGGAGTCCAGGCATGATTTTGATGGTTGGAATGTGGTTAGAATATGTAGAATGGATGAGCTGAGCAGAAAATCCTACCAAAGGAGGCTTTTTAAAAATCGCATTATTTTCAATGCAACTTTAGCCCTATATTAGTGTTGGGCGTGTGCCCAAGGGAAGGATTAGGGTTAGAAAGCAAGGTGTCCTGGCATGAGTTAGATTGTTGGAATGTGGTTAGAATGTGCAGAAAGGATGACCTGTGTGGAAAAAACTATGCAAAGAAGGGTTTTTCAAAATAGCATTATTTTCAAAGGAACTTTAGCCCTATCTTAGTGTTAGTGGTGTACCTCAGGGTAGGGTTAGGTTTAGAAAAAGGAGGTGTCCTGGCATGATTTTGGTGGTAGGAATGTGTTCAGAATCTGCAGAATGGATGAGCTGAGCAGAAAACACACCAAAGGGCGGCTTTTTCAAAATTGCATTATTTTCAACGTCACTTTACCCTATATTAGGGATAGGCGTGTGCCCCAGGGTCAGGTGAGGGTTAAAAAATAGAGGAGTTCCGGCATGATTTTGATGGTTGGAATGTGGTTGGAATGGGTAGAAACGATGAGCTGAGCAGAAAATCCTACCAAAGGAGGCTTTTTCAAAATCGCATTCTTTGCAATGGAACTTTAGCCCGATATTAGGGTTACGCCTGTGCCCCAGGGTCGGGTGAGGGTTAGAAAATCGAGGTGTCCTGGCATGATTTTGATGGTTGGAATTTGCTCAGAATCTGCAGGAAGGATGAGCTGAACAGAAAAACCTACCCAAGGAGGCTTTTTCAAAATTGCATTATTTTCGAAAGAACTTTAGCCCTACATTAGGGTTAGGGGTGTGCCACAGGGTAGGGTTAGGTTTAGAAAAACGAGGTGTCTCGACATGATTTTCGTGGTTGGAATGTGGTTGGAATGTGCAAAAAGGATGAGCTGAGCAGAAAAACCTACCAAAGGAGGCTTTTTAAAAATCACATTATTTGCAATGGAACTTTAGCCCGATATTAGGGTTAGGGGTGTGCCTCAGGGTAGGGTTAGGGTTAGAAAAATGAGGTGTCCTGGCATGATTTTGATGTTTGGAATGTGTTCAAAATCTGGAGAAAGAATGTGCTGTGCAGAAAATCTACTCAAGGAGGCTTTTTCAAAATTGCATTATTTTCAATTAAACTTTAGCCCTGTATTAGGGTTAGGGCTGTGCCCCAGGGTAGGGTTAGGGTTAGAAAAATGTGGTGTCCTGGTATGGTTTTGATGATTGGAATGTGCTTAGAATGTGCACAAACGATGAGCTTTGTAGAAAAATCTACTCAAGTAAGGCTTTTTCAGAATTGTATTGCTTTCAATTAAATTTGGCCCTATATTAGGGTCAGGGGTGTGCCCCAGGGTAGAGTGAGGGTTAGAAAAACGAGGTGTCCAGGCATGATGCTGATGGTTGGAATGTGGTCAGAATGTGTGGAAAGGATGAGCTGAGCAGAAAAACCTACGCAAGGAAGGCATTTAAAGAATTACATTATTTTCAGGGGAATTTAGCCCTATATTAGGTTTAGGGTTGTGCCCCAGGGTAGGGTTAGGGTTAGAAAAACGAGGTGTCCTGGCATGATGCTGATTGTTGGAATGTGTTCAGAATGTGCAGAAAGGAGGAGCAGTGCAGAAAAACTTACCAAAAGGAGGCTTTTTCAAAATTGCATTATTTTCAATGGAAATTTAGCCCTATATTAGGGTTAGGTGTGTGCCCCAGGGTGGGGTTAGGGTTAGAAGAACGAGGTGTCCTCGCATGATTTTGATGGTTGGAATGTTTTCAGAATGTGCAGAAAGGATGAGCTGTGCAGAAAAATCTACTCAAGGAAGGCTTTTTCAAAATCGCATTATCTTCAATTAAACTTTAGCCCTATATAAGGGTTAGGGGTGTGCCACAGGGCATGGTTAGGGTTAGAAGAACAAGGTGTCCTGGCATGAGTTTGATGGTTGGAATGTGGTTTGAATTTTTAGAAAGGATGCACTGTGCAGAAAAATTTACTCAAGGAAGGCTCTTTCAAAATGGCATTATTTTCAATGGAACTTTTGCCCTATATTGTTCTTAGGGATGTCCAGCAGGGTAGGTTTAGTCCAGTGGTGGTGAAGCTATGGCACGCCCTGCCAAGGATATATGTGTATTTGCTTGGACTGGCTCTAATTTTTTTTCTAAACTAAAAGCTCAATTTTCAGATTTTGTTTTAGTGTTGGCACTTTGCAATAAATTGGGTTCCAATTTGGGCACTCGGTCTCTAAACGGTTTGCCTTCACTTGACTACAAGGTCCCTTTGCGGACAGCGGCCTAAGGCACACTTTTTTAAAAAATCTCCATGTCAGAGGAACCGGAGTAACAGCATCCTGTCCTTCTCTACCCACTGTGCTGAACAGCTTCCGAAGTAGGTGAAGGACGAAAATACAACTCAGACCGCAGTTTGGGGCTTCCCTTGAGGACAGTTCAGCAGCTGCAACTTCTTTGACATGCAGCAGACGGAGTCTTAAACAGCACTGGAATTTCCAGGCATGTGGCATCAAGTCTGGACTTTTTTCTCTGCCTTCCTATGTTCTTCCAAGATCAGTTCACTTTCAGGTGTCTAACCTATAGATCACTATGCAGCGTGGGACCACAAACCCTGTCAGAATGCCTATCCAAGCACGGTATGTCTGGACACACGGATCAAGACATGGACCTGCCTCTGAGTGCAACCGCTCAGGGAGGCTCAGTTGGGGGCAGGGCCTTATGCGTGGCTGCCCCCCAATTGTGGAACAAGATCCCTACCAATGCCTGCTTGGCACTAACTTTACTGTCTTTATGGTGCCATTTTAAGACTGCCCTCTGCAAGGGAGCATTTAATCAGCTCTCTCTAGTATCTTGGGGGGTTGTGACAGCTGGTGGTCTAATTTGTGTTAGATATTCTAGCTGCTTAAATTTGGTCCTAAATGTAACTTAATTTGGTAACTTAAATGTAATTTGGTCTTAAATGTAGTGCATTTTAAAGTGTATTGATTATATTTTTATTTTCAATCCCACCCAACAGCCAAAGTTCTCTGGGCAGTTCACAACAGCACATTAAAATACATTGTAAGGTATGCCATATGAAAACATCATAAAACATTTACAATACAAAAGCTAAAACCACATTTAAATCAGATTTTTAAAATGATAATAAGTTGAAGAAAACCCCTTTAAGCCCTTTTTTTGAAAAATGTATTTTATCTGCTGCTGTAAACCACCCAGAGAGCTATGGCTGCTGCCCTGTAGAGAAATCAAAGTGCCCATCGTCACATCTGTGCCACGTGCCCACCTGGTCTTTCTTCTGCCAGTCATTCTGGGTCAGGCTCATAAACATCACCACCTGGGCAATTCGGCTGGATTTGTCCAAGTACCCCAAGCAAAGGGCTGCACTGAAGCTTGTATCATCCTCAGGCTGCTGCAAGTCCACCAACCGCTGTAGATTCCGGATTAAACTGGATCGGGCACCTATGCAGTACCCCTGCAAGAAGAGAGGAGCTGGGTTAGGTGCTTTCATGGGTCCAAGCAGGGACACGCAGCATCTGCCTGCCGATGGTCCAGCTGCATAGATTACCTCAAAGGTGGGCATCCTTGACCATGCTTGCAGGGCCACCTTCAGCGCAGCCAAGGTATCTTCTCTCCGATTCAGGCTCACCACCTTCAGGTGCCTAATTAGCACCTTCATTACAGAGGTCTCCAGGCACCCTGCTCCAACAAACCCAGAGGCAGTGTTTAAAGACAAAAGCAAAACTCTTGGGAAGTTTGGAGACAGTCAAGAAAATCACACATGCATGGTATTCCAGGACAAACCATTCAGGGAATATCTTTTAGGCAAAGACTGGGTTCAAACTGCACGATAACCCACTCCCATGTCATCATGACAAGAACAAGGTCCTTCTGTCCTCTGTATCCCACTGACTTGTTTCGGAAACAGCATTGTACTGGTCATGGTGGCATTCCGAACAGGCCCTACACAGATCGGGGTGTGTGCCCCAGAGGCCCAAAGCTTCTGGACCGCTGGCATCTGCAACACCTTGTGGCTTTCCAGATGTTCTGGCCTACAACTCCCATCAGCCTTTGACCACAGCTGGAGTTAGCAGACTATGAGTACTCCATCCTTCTCGAGCTTGGTACCCTCCAGATGTTTAAGCTTTCACCTTTCATCTACTCCAGCCAGCAAGGCTAATGATCCAGAATGCTGGGAGTCCAAAACCTCTGGAAGGTACCAAATTCGGAAATGATAGTTTATTCTTTCAATTTGAATTTCTTTACCAATTGTGTCTTTGCACCATTAAGAGGTCCTATTGGATCCAGATGCCAAAAGGCCCTCAAAAGCCATGATCACATTTTGCAATACTTAATGAGTGCACAGAACATAACGTATGGCACGAGCACCTAAACTTGGACCAATTTCATATGTTTAAACAAACTTTAAAATGCTTCTGAAGAATTTGTGCCTTCCCAGGAATGTAAGACCAAGCTGGAAAATTCCCCTGTTGAATAACCTCCCATCAGTCATTGCCAAGGTGTCTGTTACCTCCATTGTAGCTTGCGCTGATGATATCCATGGCAATGATCCAAGAAAGGAAATCACTCACCCAGCAAAGCCAGGGACCGAGCTACTTCGTACTGCAAAGGCAGGCTGTTGCATTCCTGAAGCTAAGAGGATACGCACTAGTAAAGGACTAGCTGGAAATAATTCCCATGCATGAGCATCTACCACAGAACCTCTGCCATCTTCACAGGAGCAGAAGCATCTCAAAAGAGCATCAGGCCCACCATGGCATGGTGGATATTTAAGATTTTAATCTTTGCAAATCACCCAGATAACGTTGGCTACTGGGCAGTATAGAACCAAAATTAATTACTGAAATAACACAGGGCAGAAGTCCTTTTAATATGCAAAAATATTGATTTTAATTTTAATTTTTCATTTTAAATTTAAATTAATTCAAATATAAATAATTTAAATGTTAAATAAATTAAAATAATTTAATTTAAATATAAAATTTAATATGTAAAAGGTAAAATAGCCTTTTAAAAGACCTGCCTTGCCTACCTTAGTCCTGCCCAGATGTGTTGGCCTACAACTCCCAGCATGTCCCAGAGAGGGTTGATTCCAAAGGGGAGGGGGATTAGACCCTGGAAAATCTGCAGATGCTCATTGCAAGAGGAACAGAGACCACAGAGATTATACTTACTGCATTACGAAGGGCAGATAGAACAGATTCTTCAGCAAACCCAAGTTTTCCAAGGGCCTAAAGAGACCAGCCAGAGAAATCCGAATAAGCATCCTCCTCCAGTTCCTACTGAGTTCAGCCCGGCTCAGGATAGGGGGGAAACTGCAGAAGGCTGCTTTGGAAAACACGAATGTGCAAGAAGCTTGACACCCGTTTTCTTAAGAGCCTAAAGAAGGAGCTACTCCCAGCACACACTTGGCTACACAGTCTGGCGTTCCACCATCCTTTTGGCAACAGCCGCTGAGCGTTCAGGATGGTCTGCCTGTGCAGTCCACTGAAGCCACCCTCCTGGAGCGCAGGAACGGCAAGGCGGGCTTCTGCTTTAGCTGGAGGAGGCAACAGGGAGATTCCAAACTTGAGATGGATGTGATCGCTCTGCCATAAGTAAGCGTTGCTTACATAAGTGAAGGAGTGCAACCACATGCAAGTTTACTCAGGCGACCGCACTGTATTCAATGGAGCTTACTCCCTAGCATCAGGTTAGTGTTTCCCTTCATTCGCAAGAGATGAGGGCCCCTCTCCACCCCTATCTTCTCAAGGGGCCAGAAGGGTGACACCAAGTAAGTTGGTTGCCAGACACCATCACTGATTAATCTGTTCCTTTGCAGCAGTGTTTCTAATGGCTACATTAGCTCATTGAAATATATAATGGAGGGGTGTTTTCTTTGATTCTTGGATTCTGGGAAAGTACCTCTTAAGTCTCCCAGTCAATCATGTCCTTCTTCCTGCTCCATATTTTCTGTGCCATTTTGTTCCTTCCGTATGATTTGTGCCACACCATGGCCATCTCCACAGGCTTCTGGGTCACCAGCTGTCCCTGCCCCCCCCAGCTTCAGGATCCTAAAGTGGAGCACCCTGTGAACCCAAGGTAAGGCACCTGTCAGTCCATCACCTGGGCAGGGCTGGGCAGGGTTATTCAAGGACAAGGTGCGCCTTTGTTTTTTCAAAGGATAGCAGTCTTTGAGGGATTGTTTTTGCATTTAGATGAGCAGGCCCTTAAAGACGCTTCCCACCACACATTCACATGTATTCTGTATTCAGAGAGAATGTGGAATTGCCTCCCTTTGGAGATAGAATCGTGCCTGCAAGCCCTGAATAGGAGTCCATATATCTGCAGGCCTCATCACCTGATGAACGTGCCAATATCCAAAAAAGGGGCCACTACATGCCTGCAGCTGTACTGATGCAGCCTCTCCCTGTGACTGGAAAGTCCAGTGGCTCAGGCATCCATCTGTAATGCTACTTCAGTCCTGAGATCTGGATATATTTTTAAGATGCCAAGAACCTCAGCTCGCTCGCTCCCTGTGTATGTGTGTGTTGCTTTTATAGCACATATATCTGATATGTAAGAGGAAATCTGAAAAGATGAGTGCAGTGCCTGCTAAAGATTATAGAAAAGTCCAGAAAGGATGGATGAGGTTGAATTTACCTGAGCTGCATAGAGTTGTTCAAGTTCCACTGGGGAAGATAAGTATTTTATGAGAATCTGCAAGCATACAAAGTAATCATCATCATCATCATGGGAGGAAGAAGAGAGTGAAAAGATCCATGATGGATTATAGTTTGTAAGTCATGCTGAGTGACAGCAGAAAAGCTCTTGCTGGGACTCTTTGCCTGGTGAGCCATGCAATTAAGTCCAGTTAGGGACAGTTGATCTAAATTGCTTGGCCAGTGCTGGCTGGGCAAATAGTGAGATTACCTCAGCGATGGACTGGCTGAGGCATTCCCAGCCTCACTTTCATGCTTGTAAAATGGGCATAACGCAGGCACTTCATAATATGCGGGATCGCTACAATAGTACTACTAATAATGCCTGTGCAAATGCTAAATAATAAAATAGTGAAGGACTCTTAGAAAAATGCAATAGATTTCTTCTCACAATATTTCTTCCAAAGGCAAAGAAGAGATTTAACCAGTGGGATGCCTCATTTCAGCGGCACCAGCCCAGGGTCTCCCCCACCTATGGCAGGACGGCATTCACGCCACCCCACAGCCTGCGGTCCTGGTTGCGGCACAGGCAATCTGCAGGGGCGTCCCTCCCACAATCCTTTCCTCCGAGGAGGGACCCTAGAGCCAGGCATCAGGCCTGGCAGGATGTCCAAACAGCTGTGTTGGCCACTTTTCCGGATGACCTGGATCCTCAGAGCGCTTGTCTGTCTGCTGCTCACTCTGAGAGTCCGTGGGGGGAGCTGGAGCAAAGAGGCGCAAAGGACAGTGGGGGATGGAGCAGCTAGTGGGGGAGCACAGGGCGGTGGCAGGCAAATCCGGCGGTGGCAGGTTCCCACTCTCCCACTCCCTCTCGCAAGCCACCTGAGGTAGCACCTTGTCCTGCTTCATGGGAGGGCTGGCCCTGCATGTCAGTAAAGAGATGCTGGCGGGATTATACGATGGCAGCAAACCCCAGAGGTGCTTGCAGGTGTTGCCTGCCCTCAGATTCCAGGAAGGCATCAGATAGCCCTATCTCAGCTCCTCCAGGCAACCCTTTCGCAGGGAGCTTGTGATGGTGAGAACAGGGATAGTGTAAATGAACTGTAACCCAGAGGTGCAGGTTTCTTTCCATGGAATGAAATGGAATGAATGAAATTTCCATTTCCATTTTCATGGATTGAAATTTCCATGGCATAAAATGGAGTTCTTTCCATTTCCAGTAGCAGCAGTAAGGCAGCTCAAGCAAGTCAAAGCTAAAGAAGAAGCATTCCTATTCCCCAAAAAATAAAAGCTTGACATGGTCCTGAAAATGTGAGAGGGTTGTGCCTCCCTCATGTGAGCAAGGGAGAGAATAGACATGCCCTTTCTCCACAAAATCCATTGGTCTGCTTCAAATCAGCACTCAAAGGTTCCCTGTCCTTGTCCTGCTCTGCACATGAGAACAAAGCTACAGCAATGCAACCAAGAGTCTTAAACCTGCGCTTGGCGGATGCCCTCTTGAACATCATAACATCTGACGTCTGACCTTGAGCCTTTCTGGTTTCAGCTTCTCCTCCCACATGTATGTTTCTTTCTGTTTAGTAGGTGACGACTGGACAAACTTTGAGAGGAGAAAGTCAGACCTGAGTGAGATAAGATTCAACATTAAAGTTTACTCATTGGCTGTCTTCCGAAAAGGCTGTTCGCAGGCACACACACATCGTTATCATCATTAATTGCATTTTGATAACACCCAAACGTCAAGGTTCTCTGAGCAATTCACAAAAATTAAACCCTAAAGCAAAACATGATAAAATATAATATAAAACACACACTTGTAAAGAGCTCTTTGCAACACAAATCGATGCTATACTAGTTTGTCCTTGAAAGAGAAATCAGTCTATTTGTGGGTTCTAGCATGTTGTGCATTGAAAGAATTCTCAAAATGTGGAACATCCCCGGTGCCTATGTGTTGTCATTAAATACATTTTGTTAAATAGAAAGAGCAAATCGCTTCTTGTAAAGTGACATCTCAGAAGGGATGAATCAATGAATCAACCAATCACGAATACAACATCTTTACAGTATTCTGACTTAGGCTGCCTGAAAAGCAGTGAAAATCATAAAGGAATCACTACAGCTGCAGTGCATGATATCTTATTTTTAATCTTGTAAACCATTCTGAGAGTCAAACTGGCTATGGAGGACAGTATATAAAAGCTCGTGCATAGAAATAAATTATAAGCTTAGTGTTTGGACTGTTCCACAGTTATTCAAAGCTTGAGAGTCCAGCGGAATAAATAACCTGGATGAGATTGGTGAGGTGGGTCCCACACAGACAGGCTGACCACCTGAAGAAAAGGAAAGATTTGTGATGTGTTAGTGCCACCTTCTGGTTACTAGGAAAAAGCAGTAAAATAAGGATTTGGGGGGGGGGGGGGGGGGAAAGAGAGAGTTGTGGGGATGCAGAATTCATAAGAAAGGGCCAGAAGCCAACTGAGCTGAGCTATATTGGATTTCTGCACTGAACATGGCACAGAATCCGCCACTGCCTCTGAGGACAGCAGCTTATCTTTGGGGGTGCAGGGAAAGTGGTACGGCTCACTCAGCCCTCCCCTCCAAGACGCTGCTGCCACTCTTCATGCCGCCTGCCCAGACCCCTCGCTCTGCCTCATAGCCAGTGTGGCCCTGCCTGCCTCAGCGTGAGGACAAAGCTTCAGGCCGCAGCAAAGCAGCCTGGGAGATGATGAAGCACCGTTACCTGGAATGAAAGCACCTCAGCATGCGTCACTGAACATCTTTCTTCCTTAAACCCTGAGGAAGGAGGAAGGCTGTTTTCCAGGTTTAAAGGGATTAGAGGCAGCAGTGAGATACTTTCCCTTAAAGTTTAAGAAACTAACTTAAAACTGCATCCACCATCTAAGGTTAGCCCTTCCTTGGTACAATCCCAAGACTGCCTTGACATCTTCTTTTATTGTTCAGTTAATTCTCACTTAGAAGACAATGTCCCTCCATTGCTCAAATCTGACTCTTTCCTGAAGACTACACAAGACTTCAAGGGCCAAACAATAGTTGGTGTTTTTTTATCTTTCTTTTGCTTTATTTCTGAATCTGTGCTATGGCTTGAATTTGCAGTGGTGCATATTTGGTTTAATTCGGGGCCAGGTTATCTAATAGTCCTGGCAAGCCAGGGATGAATTTATAGCCACATAATGGCAACACAGCAGGGTCCAGAATCCCTGCATGCCAAGCAGAGAGATACAGCTAAACAAAATATCGTGCATTTTCAAGCATAAACCAACTGCATTTCTTTTGCCCAGCTCAGACAATAGAGGTAGCTATTCCACATGTTCCACTCTTACTTTTTCTTCCTGGTCTTAGATTTCTCTTTTTCCAGCTTTTTCCGATATATACATTGCTTCTCCAGACTTGCTGCATCAGGCTGCTCCACAATTCTGGGCTGGATCAAGTGAGGCTCGGGGGTGTGCGTTCTCCACTCTGAAGGGGACCGTGGATAAGTTATGCAAGGTTTCTAGGGGGAGAAATAAGCCATCGGGACTGCAGCAGCAGCAGAGCAAGCCACCCCACGGCCAGCATCACATTGGCCTTCTTAGACTAACACAATGGCAGAGCGCTCCAGAGCACTTACTCCATCCTGGTACCCTGCAAAGATGTTGGATTACAGCTCTCATAGGTCCCAGCGATGCTGGCTTTGAATGATGGGTGTTATACTCCAACACCTCTGGAAGGTGCCCGGTTCAAGAGGATGGCTTACATCAAAGACAACCTTGTGTTTGACAGCATTTACTTTTCATTTTAGCCTGTTCATTCATTTAAAATGTTTATTGGCCATTTTTCTGGGCAGAACTCCTCCCAAGGCAGGAAAGTAATACATGTTACAAATGGTTAAAACATATTAAATAGCAACAGAAGAAAAGATTGTCCAAATAAATGCAGAAAATAAAGCTTTCAACAGACAATTGCAGCCGCTGCACAGGTGCAGCTGCTGAGTCTAACAACACATCTTGTGGAGTAAGCCAGAGTAGTTTAGTCCATTTTCAGGGGCTTGGGAAAATATATGAAAATGCACGTCTCAGTGTCTGGAATGGTATCTTGAAACCTTTTCCTCACTCATCTGGTTGTACCTGTGGCTTCAAAAGTTTCAGCTTAGCATTCCCCAGCACACAACACACAACCTCTTTCAGGAAACCCAGGATTCTAGAGACAGACATGCTGGCAAAAGAGAGCATTTCTCTGCTACCCCAGTATTGAAATGTGTAGAGACGATTGTACTATTGCAGTTATTCTAAAGCCTCAGGTTGGAGTTAATGTTAGACTTAGGGAAATATCAGCACTTGTATGTGCCCAAGGTCCTGAGGGTAGATCAGATGAGACAGAAAAAGGTGCTGTGGAATAAAAACCTGTGTATGCTTCTTTTGCCAATGTTGTCTAAAGGTATAAGTAGACTATGGTCTTGTTGGGGTTTGGTTAAGAACTAAGCTGTGATTAGCAGTGGGGAAATGTCAGTTCCTCTGCATGTATTAAGGCCTGGAAACAGGTCAGATGAGGCAGAAAAGATGAGCTGCCAACAAAAATCCAGAGAGAACTGCTTTTGAGAAAGCATTCCAAATCTATATAGAATCTATGGCAGCTTCCGTTTCAGCTTCAGCTTAGGGTCAGGCTTGGAAAATTTCAGTTCCTGGTCTGTATAGGCAAGCTGACAACAAAAAATCTGAGTTTTCTCTTTTTGCTGAAGTTTTTTAAAAGTATAGGGAGTTTATGGCACTGTGAGTGTTCGGGTTAAGCTTCAAGTTAGGGTTAGTGTTCAGAAAATTTCAGTCCCCACACTTAAAGTGGACTTAAAGTAGCTCAGATAAGACAGAAAAGGTAAGCTGTGTTGTGAGTGGTTTCCTATTGAGGAAACAGGCTTATCCAAAGCTTCTTTTCCAAAAGACTTTATTGTTACATGCCTCTGAGTAGACATGGAGTGAAATGTTGGGCCCTCTCTAACATTCCTCATTCCCAACCTCCCTTATAGCCCTTCCAACCTTTGGCTCTGCCAACTGAGCTACGGCTCCCACACAGAGGCCAGCTTGCCTTGGCCATCTATAAATAGTTGTCATGGCCAGAAATGGAAGCCTCTTGAGCAAGGGTACCTAAAGTGAAAGATGCAAATCAGCTCTCCAAGTTATCAAAACTAAGCAAGGGGAGGAAGGCGCCTGCGTTCCGAGTGTCACCCGGTAGTGTGCAGCTTGGTTGCACTGGGAGACCTTCTTCTCAGGCACCTCAGTGTCAATCAGGGATGCAAAACTTGAGGATTGGGGGCCAGATCCAGCCACACCCTCCTTTCCCTGCCTGCCAATCATCTCATGGTTTCCTGGCTGAGGTGAATCCCATTCGAAAAGCTACGAATTCCTTTCCTAAAGGCATAATTACTGGCAGTAAGAGCTTTAAGCCCAGAGAGGTTGTTATTTGGCCCCACCCTCCTGGGCCTCTCCACCCCTTGTGCTCTTGGCCCAGCCCACCACACTCCTGCCAGCTTCTCAAAGTGGGATTCCACCCTCCAGCTGCAAGAGGTCCAACACCTCTATACACACTGTATAGGCTGTGGAAGGATCATTCGCTTTAACTTTTAAGTACGCGTATCCCAGTGACTTTCCATGGATACCAGAGACTGCTTACCTGGTGGAAGGAGTCCCTTGGCATCTTGAACTGGATAGCTTTCCTGGCTGCTAAACGAAAGAAGCAGACAAAGCCTTGTCACCATTCCAGAAGGATGGTGCTTCTGCAGCAATCGACTGTTTATCAGCTTCTGTGCAATGAAGCTAATCCGTAGAACAAAAAGTCAGGTGTGATCTGTCAGGCAGGAAACAAGCAGTCCTCTCCTTGGCTAAGGGCACAATCCTGTACCCCCACCAAAAAAACCCCAGGCAACCTATGTGGAGCAGGAAGAGCGTGGATCTTTGTCTCTGTGTTCCTCTCACCCTGTAAGTCCATTAGATGGCCCATTTCAGCTATTTCGAGGTGGCACTTTGGGCCAGGGTGAGGTGGGCAAAGAGAGTGGAGCACCAGGGTCAGACTCCTTCCCTCTCCACCCTCTGAGTTCTCTCTTATGGCCTCAGAGAAGCAGCTGCCATGGTTCTTTCTTCACCAGCTGCCAAGAGGGAAGGGCTTCTGAGAGCAGACCCCTGCCTCCAAGGTCAGAGATCTTGGCTGATCTCGGATCTGGAAATCCAAAGCATCCTGTGACCCTATGGATGCTCTCCTGGAACCGTAGGATCACTGTTTCCAGCTACAGTTCTCTGTACCTCATGGCCATGTGTTGATGCTTGCCTGTTTGTCTGCAGATGGCCTTTCCACATGAGGATGTTAATCTCCTGCATCTATTTTTCGTTTCAAAAACTGAGATAGGCACATTACAAGAATGTTCCCTTTCCTGCTTCTTCACCACATAGCCTCTAGGTGGCACTATGATGCAGTGGGAAAGTGCCATCACACAGTTGGAAAAACTGTTTTCATTCACTTTAATGAATAATACTACATTTCCCTGCTCCAAAGCATGCTGTCAAAAACAAAACAGAAGTGGCATGACATAGTCTAGAGAAGTATAAACAACTGCCAGCAGGGAATGATGAGTGCACAATAAATGCCTATGTAGAAAAAGCTCTTAATGCTTAAAAAACGTAGTGTGCAATAATCAAAAGTCAGCCTTGCGGAATGGCACTATAGTGACTAGCGGTTTTGTTGAAGCATAAGCCATTACAGCTTTGAAGTGCTTCTTGGTTTTGCTGATACAGAAGAGCACACTCCAGAGTGCACAGTTAATTAATGTAAATCATGAGAAGGCAGCGTCAGCCAAAAAGGAGCTGATTAGTGGTACCCAAAAGAAAAGCAAGAGGGGTTGTCTTATTTGCATCAAATGCAAAATATCTGTAGTAAAAATGTACAAAATATATGAGTATTTCCACCAGTGTCCCTCTGGCATTGCATCTACACAAAAAGCTCCCAGCTGGACAATCCCAGCAGCTGTGTGCATAATACTAAGAGATAAAACCAACTCTGTGTTATTCTCCAAGGATCTAACTCACCTTTGTCTTCTGGGGTCTCTATTATGGAGCCCCATAATGATTTTTTAGGCATTTTGGCCCCCTGAGTCATTGCCAGGAGCATCTTTGCCCCGTCCCTTCTTGGCCCTTTCATTCCAAGTCTTAGGAGTCCCTTCAGCAGCTATTCCAGCAATCTGCAGGGGCTTTTGGAGGACTTTCCCTGAACTGGGATTGAGGAGTGATGTCATAAACCACTACTGTGATATGGGGCTTATTGTACATATACCAAAAGTGTTACTCAGCTCCAGATACTTCTGGGTGGACCTGATTATCTGAATTTGTTTCAAACTGGTTTACTCCTCATGCAGGTCTAAGAGGGCTTGATCAATCGGATGGATGAGCTACTCAAGAACCAGGCAGGAGGAGTGCCTCCCCATTGGTTTTGCCAGGCCTCGCAGCAGCTTTTGATAGCATCATCTATGATATCCTTGTGGACCACCTGGGTGGTTCTGGTTCTTCCCGAGAGTCAGTTTCTGAAGGTTCCTCTAGGCTTCCTCCTAGAGTGTCCTTAGAGTTCTATCCTGTCCCCATACTTTTTAACATTTCCATGAAATCCCTGAGATTGGTAATGGACTCATGTGTCTAAGAAACTGAGACTTAGTCCTGACAAGACTAAGTGCTCTTGGTCAGTTTGATCACTTAACAAGCCAGCTTTGGACATGAGCCAGGAGTGCTTTTGCCCAGGTTTGTTGTTGTTGTTAAGTCACGAAGTCGTGCCTGACCCATCGCGACCCCATGAGCAACATTCCTCCAGGCCCCCCCGTCCTCCACCATCCCCTGGAGTCCACCTAAGCTCACACCGACTGCTTCAGTGACTCCATCCAGCCACCTCATCCTCTGCCGTCACCTTCTTTTGCCCTCAATCGTTCCCAGCATCAGAGTCTTCTCCAGTGAGTCCTTCTCATTAGGTGGCCAAAGTATTTGAGTTTCATCTTCAGGATCTGGCCTTTTAAAGAGCAGTCTGGGTTGATCTCCTCTAGGACTGACTGGTTTGATCTCCTTGCGGTCCAAGGGACTCACAGGAGTCTCCTCCAGCACCACAATTCAAAGGTCTCAGTTCTTTGGCGCTCAGCCTTCCTTATGGTCCAGCTTTCACAGCCATACATTGCAACTGGGAAAACCATAGTCTTGACTATACGCACTTTTGTCAGCAGGGTGATGTCTCTGCTTTTTAGTATGCTGCCTAGATTTGCCATAGCTTTCCTCCTCAGGAGCAAGCGTCTTTTAATTTCTTGGCTGCAGTCCCCATCTGTGGTGATCTTGGAGCCCAGGAAAATAAAATCTGTCACTACCTCCATTTCTTCCCTGGTGCAAAAATTGCATGCATTTCTGGTGGCTCGTACGTGCCTTTATTAGATCAAGACTGGATTACAAGATTGGATGTGTTCAGTGCAAGGTTGCCTTTGGAAAGCATTCAGAAACACAGCAAATGAGGTTCTGCTCTGAGCTAGTCTCTTGGAGGATGTTTTCACTTTTACAGCAACATCATATTAACAATTTATCAACAACATAGTCTGTTTCTGAACTCAAGGTGCATTGCTGCTTAATACCCTTAGAGTGCAATCTTGTGAATTTTTAGGCAGCAAAAAAGCCGCACAGTTCCCAACATGTCCCCTACAGCCAGGTTGGCTGTGCAATTCTGGAAGTTGCAGGACAAAAACACTCCAGAATCTCATTTTATCTCATATTGATTTATTTCCTTGCTGTACTTTTAAAGGACAAACCACTTCTCTGGGCACCATACAATATGTTATCTATTTATTTAAAACATTTGTATGCTGCCCAATTGTGCCACAGCACCTCTGGGCAGTTCACAATACGAGATGCTATACACATACAGTACAAACATTAAAACAGGAAAATAAAAACAGTGCAAAATAAAAACAGAAATCAGCAGCAACAAATAAAACCTTTATAGCATCACAAAACTAGCAGCAGGATACAGCTAAAAGCATGACAGGGCAGTTCTTAAAATGCCTCGGGGAATGAAAACGTCTCCATCCAGCATGAGAATGCAGACACCAAGTGAGTCTGTCTAGAAAGAACGTGTCACAAATGGGCTCGAATGTCAAACTGGGTTACCTAGAAAAGTTCCTTTGGCACATTCTGCCTGTGGCCCGTTGTCTTACTTTACAGAAGACAGTCCTCTATGTGAAGCCCTTTCCAGTCCAAGCCCAGTTTAAAGGTGAAGAACCATTCGAACTGGGAACCAGCAGGGGCTTTCCAGCTGCCCATCGACAATCGAGCAACAAACCAAGCAGGGTGCTGCTATTTACATTGCAGCATGTATTTCTAAATTTACATCTTTCAGTGTGAAATAGTGTGTAATCCTATGCAAAACAACACTCTCCCTGTCCTCCTTTTGAGTGATGCATTTCCTCTTATTTCAGGCATGCCTGAATGTGCATCCTGACCTGAAATGTGCTTGGCAGGAGCGCCCAGGAGGGCATTCCTGGCTGCATCACAAGCTGGGAAGCTTTCTTCCCCTTTGTGTCATCTGATCAGGATTCTATTTTTTATTTTTTTGGTGTTAGCCCCTGTGGGTGTTTCTCAGATAACAGGAAGGCAGAAACTACATTTTAAAAATAAAATGTTTATTGAGGGCTGAGGCTAACATCTCCAACCACTATTGAATTGTGCCAAATGCTGCTTTAGAAACTGGCCAAACTGGGGCCTATTGGGAGTTATAGGGCTTTTTCTGCCAAAATTTGCTTAGAATTATACCCATACTGTGCAAACCTCTGTATGATTTCCTAAAAAAAAAACCCTATTTAATTTCATGGGACTTATCTCCTGGTAGTGACTATAGGATTGCAGAAACTTTGAATATTCCAGGGAGGTTTTTATTTGGCATCCTGCGAACTGCAGTCTCAGATTAGATTGATTTATACAACAAAGGAATCCTGAGCTGTTTTTGAAACATCCAGTGTGTGGCAAGAGAAAAGGGGGGTAGTATTTGGGCAGTGTTACTGAAAATAAAAGGGAACAGAAGTATAAAAATAAGTCAATACGAACTCACTGACTATTTTTACTAGCAGCATGGGTGGGAAAAGTCCAAACAATGTCTAACTATCCAAGGTTCCCATCCTAAACCTGTTCAGACAGAACATCCTCAAGACTGCATCTGAACTAGCAAAATTCTAGAACTCCCCTAGACTGGTGAACCCCCCGGCCCATGCAGCATCTTCTGCACTTACAGGTCAGTGCAGCATAGGGCCACAAGCATGGTGGCCGGATTGCAGGGAAAGCCATATGAGGCAAGACTGAGGAAACTGGGTCTGTTCAGCATGGAGGAGACTCCAAGGGGATCTGTGGGCAACGTACATGTATGTGAGGGGGTGTCACATGGAGGTGGGTAGAGACATGTTCTCCCCTGCAGAGAAGGGCAGGATGCGCTCCAATGGAGCCAAGCTCAAGGAACCAAGGTTCAATTGGGATGCCAGGAGGTACTTCCTGACAGTTAGGACCCCGAGGGTATGGAATGGGCTTCCACAGGAGGTGGATGAGGTCCCATCGTTGAGGGTGTTCAAGGATAGGCTGGACATGCACATGATGGGCATGTCGTGAACAGAACCGGCTGGAGCCGAGGGTCAGACTAGATGGCCTGGGAGACCCCTTCTGACTCGCGCTGTTTCTAAATTGTACCACCCATGTGCACTGCCCGGCCGACTGGTGGCGTGGGGGGAGAGCCACAAAGTGAGTATTTCACCTCCTTGCACGCAGGGATGGTGGGTGGGGTTGCAGGGAAGGGAGTGTGTGCGTGTGCTCATAGGTGTGCACATGTGCAGGTCCTGACCTACCGGGACAAAAAGATTGTCCACTCCTGAGTTAATTATCACATTCAGTTTGATGCTGGCCTTGCTCAATGTATCAGCATTATAGTGGGAGCTGACTGCTACGTTGCAAGGACTTCTGGGGGGTGCCTACAACACTTGGCTTTGGTGACCGAGCTACCTGGAATCCCAACATGTGTAGTCAGACTTTTTTCCTCTTAAGAGATCCGTCCTCTTCAAGCAGAATCTTCTGCTTCTCATAATACGACATGCTTACATGTGAAGGTAATGTGTGTGCGCGTACGCGCATGTGAATTTCCAGAAATCAAAATGAAAACATAATAAAAATATATTACAATTTCCTAGCATAAGGTTTGAATATATTCACTACATAGATACATATGTAATGGGTACCCCGCATGTTTCAAGAAATGTGTATGTAGACGTATATGACAAGATATACTACTGTACTCAGCCATCATTATTCATAGACTTCGACAAAAGCAGACCAAATATCCCTCTACTTGTCTATTTGAAGATGGAGGCTAAAGCCCACTCATTCAAACATTATTTTTATTTAACGTTTCCCTGCTACATCTAGCTACTGCCACAAGGATCTCTTACTTTCAGGTGAACATGAGCAGGAATTTGTTCATATTAACTCAGACAAGGAAGCCCTGAAAACAAAACTGTGTCTGGAGTCTATATATACTCTCATTTTGCTGTTTACAGACTGTTAAACTGTGCAAAAAGAACAATGCCAGAGGCTCTGTTGCTTTATGTAATCTTGATTATAACAGCACAGAAACCTGATGTAAACAAACCTGAAAACAGAGATGTTTCTGCTTTCAGCCTTCTGAGAATTTTCTTGTTTAAGTCCTAGCCAGCACAAAATGTGAACTTGAGTTTCAGTACCTTTGCATGCAGAACTTAAAAGAGTGCCTCTAAATACAACCCCCTAGATAGCCATTCATATTTCGCACCCACAGACATGGCTGAGCCCTTGGTGTCCGTCCGCATGCTTTGGCTAATCTGCTGGGAGAGAGATGATATATTCATTCATGCCATAGCATGGCACCGCACTGCTCAGAGCTGGCTGCATCTCTGCAGCGTGATTAGCCACAGCTGAACCTAGAAGTGATGTACAAATGTTGACAGTGGGGCGGAGGGGGGGCAAATCCCCAGAATCACCCACATCCTAGGCTTAAAGCTGGGGAAGAAGCAGAGAGAAGGGTGTGCTCTGACCCAGGACCTTCCAGAGAGTGCTTGAGAAACCTAGCCAAGATCCACAGGC